TGCATATTACTTTCATTCTAGACATCCTCATTTCTCATCATTCATATTCACCCTATAGCATATATATCCCATAATATATATTTTATAGCATGCATATTACTTTCATTCTAGACATCCTCATTTCTCATCATTCATATTCACCCTATAGCATATATATCCCATAATATATATTCTATAGCATGCATATTACTTTCATTCTAAACATCCTCATTTCTCATCATTCATATTCACCCTTAATCGTATTCACTGAGTTCTTTCACAAAGATAATCCTCTACCACATCGGGTAGGTCTAGTTACTTCTCCATATCACACCGGGCAGGTTGATAGCAACTTCCTTGTGGGGGTTGGTATTTCACTTTGATCGTTTTGTTTGAAGCCTTGGTTTAGGACACTTTAGGACTGTTTTTGGTTGTATTTTTGGGTGTTTAAGTTTGGTCACGGCTGGCTTTTGTTTAGGAGTGGTTTGGGATGTGTTTGGGGATGATTCTGGCCGAGAGTAGGTGTTTTGGGATGGAAGAATGTTAGGCTTTGTGTGTAGGCCGAGGGTAAATGTTTGGGTTGGTGTGTGTTGTATTTTGGTCACGGTTTTGGATAAAAGAATGGTGAAGAAGATTGAAATGGAAGGCACCACAAACTAAAATGTTTGATAAGCCAATTGAGGTTCGCCACAAACAAGGATGTTTGATAAGAACTATACTCTTGGTTCAACCAAGAACTTAGGAGAGAAAATCTCACTAACACTTTGCTTTTGCATAAAATTCAACTTATGTTTTCATTCCATGTATGTGATTACATATAGTCTTGGGCTGGCCGTGTGAAGGCTTCCCTCTTGCATTTGAATTTCGAAATCCTACTTTATTACAATGATCATAATAATTAAACAAAGGCTAATCTTAAGGAAAGACTTTAAAACCCATTTTGAATGTGTATTTGAGCACATGTCCAATGTATGTGGACAATGGCTTGTGCAATTCGGCCTAGCCTTTATTCAGCTTAGATTGTTGCCTTTAAACTTAGCCAAACTCAAGGGCCTTGTTCCTTGTTTCTTCATTTAGGCCGAGGCAAGATTCTAGGGTGCTCATTGAAGTCCCATTCAAATTTGAAAGCTGGTCGTGTTGTCTTGCATCTTTTATGCCATGAGCTGAAAATGGGGGATTGTTGTCCCTCTTCATTAACTCCATAAAGCCATGGCTGAATTTATGCTTTGTTTGAATTCAAAACCATGAGCACGTGGGAATTAGTTGTTATGCCTTGATTCTTTAAGGCATGGGCTGAAAATATGGGATGTGCCTTCAATGGTTGTTTGAATTTGAAACTAGCCTTGAATGCCTTCCTTCTTTGTAGCTTGGCCGAAATTCACATAGTAAGTGCTCAATTAAAATGGCCTGAAACATGGGGCAAAGAATATGGGATGTGCCATAAATGTGTTTAAGTCCCATTTGAATTTGAAATTCAGCCTTGAATGCATGCTTTAAAGTGAGGCAGAAAATGTGGGATTGGCCTTTAATGCTTTGGCTGAAACAATTCAGAACAATTATTAGTGAGTTTATTTAAAACAAAACATGCTTAAAAGTAATAGGCTTAGTAAAGGTGGATGGTCCACTTATTAAAAGCTTAAAGAAAGAAAATAAAGTAAGGCCTTATGCTTGGTCGTGGCCTTCAAAAGGTTCATCCTCTACAAGGAGGCAATTAGTGGGCCTCATATTGTCATTTGGCCCAATTGATGCTAGGTTGCTTAGTATAACTTGGCCAAGTGAGCCTTGGGTTTTCTTGGCCTTGGCCTGAGTTATGGGACCTCTTAGGCCCATTTGAACATCGAAGTTGATGGCCATTGGTGGGTTGCTATCACAGGTCTAGTTTATTCTCCATACCCCATCGGGCAGGTCGAGTTAATTATTCATACCACATCGGACAGGTCTAGTTCATTCCCCGTACCACATCGGACAGGTCTAGTTAATTATCCATACCACATCGGGCAGGTCTAGTTCATTTCCCATACCACATCGGGCAGGTCGAGTTTATTATCCATACCACATCGGGCAGGTCTAGTTCGTTCCCCATACCACATCGGGCAGGTCAAGTTTATTATTCATCCCACATACTCCACTACCACTCTGGGTAGGACAACAACAATAATCTACTACCACTTCGGGTATGACAACCACAATAATCTACTACCACTTCAGGTAGGATAACAACAATAGACCACTACCCCTTCGGGTAGGGTGACAATGATAATCCACCACCACTTCGGGTAGGGTAACAACAATATTCTTACAAACATATTACCTCTTTCACATACCTCATTCACATCAACTCATATGAGTTAGAGACACTTACTTATCCCTTACCTTGGTGAGCGTTGGGGTTGGTTCCGAGTAACTTTAAAAGTCTCCTCCGCGATTTCCTCCAACATTAGGATCTCTCCTCATTCCCACCAATAACAACAATGTCAGTCATTTATTCCAAATAATACATAAACGATTTGTATTTCATCATCAAACATACAAGATATTCACATATTTTCAAGGTTTCCAAAACTACTTCAATACGAGTTTCCAAACATCTAAACACACATATTCATCTCATATATCAACATTAAAACACAAACTCACCTTCCACATTTAACATTTCATCATTTCCCTTTTTACTCATATTCTCATTTTTGGGGGTTTTTGGGGTTTTCATGAATAACCCACAAAAACCTTTCCATTCATCAAATACTAACTCTAAACCAAGATTTTACAAGAGAAATGAAACGAACCATAACTCTAAAGGAAGAGTTTCCATGGTTTCTCATACGTTGAGAAGAGATCCATATACCCACAAACGAGTTTGAAAGGGAGAAAGAGAGTTAGAGTCAAGAGATCTACCTCTTCTCAAGCTTCTAGATGATTTCCACGAGTTCTTGCTCTCAAAATCACCTTTTCCTTTCTTCTCTCTCAATTTTTAACCCTAAAATGTGTTTGGGGTTTCTATTTTAAAGTGAAATCGTCGGGTTCTCGCTCAAGCGAGCCCATTCTCGCTCAGGCGAGAAAATCCCGCCTTTTTAAAATTTTAGATCTAATGCTCTCGCTCAAGCGAGACAATTCTCGCTTAGGTGAGGCATCTCTCGCTCAAGCGAGGTTCCTCTCGCTCAGGCGAGAATCTCACAGCCTCGACAGGTCCTGAATGCTACTTTTCTCGCCCAGGCGAGACAACTTTCGCTCAGGCGAGACCACCCTCGCTCAAGCGAGACCATTCTCGCTCAAGCGAGAATCCTTCAGTATAGCCCAGGATTTCACCTTCCCAGGTGAGCCTCTCTCGCCCAGGCGACAATTCTCTCGCTCAAGCGAGACTCCCAGGACTGATACTATAGTTTAATGACTTTAAAATTTAGGGTGTCACAAAAGCTCTAAGATTTTTGAAGTAGTGTTTACTTACCAAACCTCTTCAGGCTCTATACTCTCGAATAGAGTTTTTTTGTGTTAATCATTTACGCTCACTAGGTAAGGATAAGAATATGTAAGATTAGTGGAGCCTAGGACTCACTAAGAAATATCTTCATATTTACAATCATAAATTCTCAGATTTTACTCTCTCAACTTAATTTTCCTTTTAAAGTATATTATAATTTACTTACTCTATAATTCTATAAAGATAGAATTTCCATACAAGAATGATTTTTATTAGTTATATTTTCGTGTATTAATTTTGAAAGGCTTTTCTTCCTATTGTAGGTGAGCTTCAACAACTTTATAAGAATATTCTAATGGTCTTCTAAAGTGTTAGTTTAGAGTAAGCATTTAGTACATTGATTAGTCGAGTTTTGATACCGAGAATAAAGTAATTACTTGAATCTTGAACCATATTTGACTACAAATTAATTATGTTGGATCTATGTATCTGAATTCGTCTTCTTTTACATATCCATAATTATGTTTGATCATAACTTCATACATTAAATAAATTTTCATGCATTTCTTAGATTAATCTTCTTGGTTGGAATGATTTTTTTGGTGGAAATAGAAGATGAATGAAAAATGGTTGTTGTATAGCACTTAAGGAAAGTTGATTTGTATGAGTTTCTCTTGTCGTATTCTCATTTTCTTCTAAAACAAATTTCTTCAATTTTGATGCATCTACATCATTATCTTTTTCAAGATCTGAATCTTTTTTAGGTGTAGGCACTTCAGTCCGCTTGCCTGATCTAAGGGTGATGGCACTCACATTTCTTGGGTTAAGTACAGTCTAGGATGGTAACTTCCCAAAGTTCTGATACTGCAGTGTGTTCAGTGTGATAACCATTTGTCCCATTTGAGTGGTCAAATTCTGAATTGAAGACTATTGCCTTTGAATTGAGGCTTTAGTTTCTTGGTGGAAATGAATATTATGCATTATTATTTGCCTCACAAATTCTTTCAAAGAGGGTTTGGTAGGTGCAGGAGTGTTATTCATTTGCTGCCTCTGTTGTTGGATTGGCGGGGGCACATATGATGGTCTATTCTGCCCAACGTTATTCTGAAATGGTACATGATTTCTCCAACCAGAATTGTATGTGCTCGATGATGGATCATAATTTTATTGCTGATGTGGAGGTATGTTGTTGTAGATGTTTATAGCATATGCCTCAGGATGATCACTAGTTTTTGGCTCAAACAGAGAAGGACACACATCACTTGAATGATCGGTTGAGGTGCAAATGTCACATACTCTTGCCATTGAAGATTTTTGTTGATCCATGGTTAACTGAGTGATCAAGGTGGTAAGGGAATCAATTTTTCTCTCATGTTTGTCCTGCCTTGCTGCATTTGTCCCAAAGTCATGAACTCCTCTAACAACTATTGCATCATCACTCCTTGCATTGAATTGTTGAGAGTTGAAAGTCATCTTCTCAATCAAAATTCTGGCTTGAAAATGAGTAATGTCTCCAAGTGCACCACCACTAGCAGCATCAATTATACTTCTATCTATGTTATGCAGACCCTCATAAAAATACTGTAGGAGGAGTTGCTCATAGATCTGATGATGAGGGCAGCTTGCACACAATCTCTTAAATCTCTCTCAGTACTCATATAAGCTCTCACCATGTTGTTGCCTGATTCTAGAGATGTCCTTTCTGATTGTAGTGGCTTTGGATGCAAGGAAGAATTTATCCAGGAATGACCTCTTCAAGTCACCCCAACTTGAAATAGATCCAGGAGCCAAGTAATACAATCAATCTTTTGTTGGGCCTTCAAGTGAATGAGGGAATGCTTTCAAACAAATTTGATCTTCTTGGACATCATGAGATTTCATGGTTGAGCAGAAAATGTGGAATTCCTTAAGATGCTTATGAGGATCCTCACCTGCAAGTCCATGAAACTTAGGCAACAAATGAATTAGTCCAGTTTTAAGCACATATTGTACATCCTCGCATTTGATACACAAACTGTCATAAGTAAAATCAGGGGCAACCAGCTCCATTAATGTCTTATCTCGGGGACTAGGTGGAGTAGGTGGTTGAGCCATATTTTCATAATGCTCAGAATCAAAATATACAACAGAATACACAAAATCACTATATGTAGCAGAATGTACAGAAACAAAATGCTCAGAATTAGTATGCTCGAAATGAGTATGTTGCACATGATGCAAAAAAAATAGAATTAGTATAAGCTGCACTATAGAAAGTTAGAGTCTTATTTTTCTAACTAACATATAATATGATATGATATGTTATATCATTTTCAGGATTTATTAGATGCAAATTGTATGTGTTCCTCCTAGTCATGCACTACTATTAACAATAGCAACAAAACAAGACAATAATGGAAAAAATACATGTTAGAAATGTGTAATCAATCAATTCTTTGCATCAATAACATCCTAAAATCATATAGAACATGTGCAAAAAGTTTCATTAAAACACTCAAAGCCTAACTATGATTAAAATTCAAAATATACTCACTATAAACCTTATAAAATAAAAAAATAGTAAAAAAAGTTTTTTTTTGGTATTTTGAAGCGGACCTAATAGACATAGTGTGTCACAATGGATAAAATGTAAAATTTTACCCCAAATGCATATATCATATGTTCAATTCTGATATATGGATCCAAAGTTATACTAAAATAAAATTTCAACTATTCACTATTCACTATTCTAAGAGTTTTCCAATTATTTTCATAATAGTTTTTCCATTTCTTGAGCATTGCTACTAAGCATAAGGATAGAAGTACATATCTTTTTTGTCTCTAAAGTCTTTTTTATTTTTCTTATTTTTGTAAACTTAGCGTCTTCATTTAAAATTATAAGTAAAATCTTCTTCTTACAGTTAATTCAAATCAAAAAGACTAGCTTAAATTTGTGGCAAGCCATTCAGGGTGCAAGTCCATTCCTCATATATTTGTGGCCCTATGGACCCTTAATTTTATTTAAAAAATCATAGATAAACATTTTCAGGGAGAGAGAATATTGCATGGTTATGTTTCTCACATGTGAGGTGTTTTAGTTTTATAATAAAATTGATTTTTGAGACTATATAAAACTTAACACCAAAATTTGAACAAAAATAAAAATTTATAAATTTTAAAATTCGATGAGCTCTAAAGTATTATTCTATATCCATTATCATATTTATTAAATGAACCTAAATTAAAACAATAAAACTATGAAATATTACAAATCATTATATGATTTATAAAAATAAATATATTTATAAAATAAAAATATAAAGAGAATATATTTCATTAAAAATCTTTAAGAAAAAGCAGGCCCCTTATTTTTGTGGACCTTGAACGGTCGCACTTGTTACACTTGCCCAAGGCAGGTCAGGTCCTGGATGGGTGGTAGGAAGGAATATATTTTAATAACTTCAATTAATCCATACTTGTATTTATTATGATAAAATAATAACAAAATTATAATCTACCTTTATGTATTTTAAATATGTAAATAGCTAATAAAATGTATAAAAAAAAGTCTTAAACAGTTGATAAATAAACTATATTCTCTTATATTTATTTTTAAACCTTTAAATGAAATATTAGATTTTATATATATATAATAATTCAAATTAGAACAATTCTCATAAAAATTCTGATAGTTGAACTTAACAATTATGGATGGTTAGAATTAAAATTTAGTTATTGATTATAAGATCATTTAAAAAAATCATGTGCATATACTTTTAATTTTGACTGTTCAAATAAAATATAGCATTTTATATTAATTGTTCTTATTTCTCATAATAATATTATTTTTGGGATAAATATAAACTACATAGCATTAGTATTTTGACTAGGCTCCCATCCCCAGCACAATCGATTGTTAAAACTAGGCATTAACGGAAGTCACTTCCGTTTTCATACTTTACAAGATCACAGAGATATAAAACTTACCGAATTCCTCCCCATTACTTGATTCTCAGGAATATGAGGGATGAATTTACTTAAATTATTTAATTTAAAAATAAATAAAAATATGGATCATTAAAATTTTACTTTTGTATATTATGATCTTAACTATATAATGGCCTGAAAAGTCGGACTCATAAAACCTTCAAATTTGGCAATTAGGATAAAAAAAAGCCTTTCAAGACCTCAATAAATTCCGTGTCATTAGCCAAGCACAAATAAAAATGAAACAAAGTTATGATGTTTCAACGCACACATCCAAAGACAGAAGCATAATGAGTTTGGCATTTTTATCATTACAAATATTTGACCAATAGCCATATGACAAGAACCAAAACAACTATACCAACCACTGATAAAAGCATGCACAAGCAGAGCAACCACCTTTAGTACGTTTGTTCAAAACGGCCAAGTTCTTCTGCACTCTCTGTTTTTTTACAACATAAGGGAATGGTAAGTTGGAAGCAACTTCTACAATGTTAACATATCTCAATTTGAGTTAAAACAAAGGGAAAAATCAACAACTTAATAGATTTTAAAAAATGTATCAGAAAGATTTGGAGCTGTAAACAATCATCAACTAGCAGAAAATATATTATTGAAAAATAAGAGTTCTTATTGTAGGTATATACTAGTGCATTTTACATTGCAAGGGAAACAACAGCAACAATTTATTTGATCTAGTTTTTCTTGATATCAACCATAAATTTGAAACGTTCCTATGGAATGTTTACCTTAAGCAAAGGATATGCATATTTGCAGCAAATTTTCTTAAGATTGTTACAGAAAACACATCCACTGATAAATAAAAGTGGCATCATGAGCAGAATTACCACAGGTCCATATTTGACTAACCATATTATAATGTATGCACATTTTATCACAAATGAGTATATTTCTATTACAAATCACTGTACTTGAACAAAAGACTAACTAAAAGAAGAATTTTATATATCAATTTGACTTGTTAAAATCCACATTTTAACTCACCTATAATATAACTATCAGAATTAAGGAATTTGTCAATTGAAAAAGACAAGAAAAAAGTGAAAGCTCTAGGATTCACAGAGAATATTGGCGGTCCAGTGCACAAGGCTCCCACCTAGTAAGGTCTAGGGATGATAGATATACGCAGTCTTACCCTCACAATTGAAAAAGTTGTTTCCAGGATTTAAACCCATGATCTCCAAGTCACAAGACAAACAACCTTACCAATACGTTGTAGCTCACCAAAGAGGATATTACATGATGTAGATTATTTTAAGCACATTGTAATATCAGAAAGTTTAATTTTGATATGCTTAATTGCTTAAATGATATGGTACCAATATAGAAGTTAATTAGTAAGAGTGTTACCCTCAGCCGAGAATCTGTAACATCTACATGTTCATCCAAGTCATCCTAGCAGAGAAAGAGACAGAATCCAATTTTAGAAAGTTGAAAAGAAAATCTACTGTAAAAAAACATAGAAAAGTAACATAGGAAGGCAACATACAATGAGTCTTGTGTGTAAACCCAGCTCTTCATTCACTGCCAGTGCAATATGTTTCGTACTTATTACAGTCTCCTCCAATTTCTCAAGGCCCTCATCTTGCTCTGCTTGAATAGCACTCTCCAAAATTAAGATCCAAAGAACAGACAACAGGTAATATATTTCAATTTTTAAGCAATTCGAATTAAGTGACATTTCATAATTTGCCGTTGAAGTCCAACAAGTCCACTGTTGTCGAGGCCAACGGTTCTGCTCATTGCATTTGATTTTATATCTGGCCCAAGCAAACTATCCCTGTTTGCAAAGTTTGACATGTTCAATGTTGAAGCCATTTGGTTGACTTTTGATCTTAAATTTACAAGCGTGTCCTTGCGACGATGAAAAAAAGACGATGGCTCTCAATCGTGATTGATAAAATATTTCCTTATTGGTACTACCACAGCTGTTTTATATTATGCTGCCAAGGAAACCCCAGGAAATTGAAAGTTAAGAGCAGGATGATTCTTCAGATCATTTATTTCAAAGTAAAGAAGGTATTAGAAGACTGCAGTACACAGTGTTCCCGGTCCGAGTTGGCATGCTGTAATAGTATGACCTTTTCTTAATCAGCATAAACAACAATTGAACACTCACTTTCCAGGGTTCTTTGATAAAAGGGATTGCAAGCTATCAAGTCTGGTCCCAAATATCGTAATCTTCCTTCTTATTGCGGATGCATGGCGCTGGGTTTCTGGTCCAAATGCAGGAAATGAACTCCGCTCAGAAATCATGCCATTGATATCATCAGAGAGCTTAACTGCTTCATTGTATTCCTTCATCCATTAGTCTGAAGAAGATGCCATTGGCCTGAAAATAACTGAAAGGAAGAAAATATATGATAAATTAAGAACGCCAAAGACGAATGGTGATTTATAGTAGTGTTGCGCTGATAAGCACCGGTACAAAAAGATACAAGAAAGATTGAAAGAATGCTCAATTTCCCAAAACAAGAATTAGTGGTTCTTGGTTGGGTCAATGTGAATAGTAGTTTATTGAAAGAATGGAAAGATTTACAAGAAAAATGAATTGTACACAATAGAGTCCCACGACTCTTCCCTTTGGTTCCTCAACCAATTCCAACTATTTTTCTCCTCTTCCCTTCCAAGAAGCTAATTCTCTATTTATAGACTAATTAACAAACTAACTGCTTAGGGACATTTTAGTAAAAGTGTTATAACTAGGTAACCCCTAACCAAAC